GGAGGGAAGAAGGGGGAGGGAGGGAGGGAGAGAGGTCCTGAGATGGTGGTGGCACTTACACATTTTGAGTACACTGCCTCCAAACTGGACTGAATTAAGCACATTTTTTTTTGGTGGTCATGGGACTTGAACTCTGGGCCTGGGCGCTGTCCCTCAGCTCTTCAGCTCAAGGCGAGCGCTCTACCACTTGAGCCACAGCGCCACTTCCGGTTTTCTGGTGGTTAATTGGGACTAAGAGTCTCACGGACTTTCCTGCCGGGGCTGGCTTTGAACTATGATCCTCAGATATCAGCTTCTTGAGTGGCTAGGATGACAGGCATGAGCCATTGGCACTCGGCTCTGAATTAAGCACTTTAAAATGATTTTTATTTTTGTGCCAATACTGGGACTTGAACTCTCTTGCTTAGCTGTTTTGCTCAAGGCTGGGGCTCTACCACTTGAATCACAACTCACCTTTTTTCTTCAAGTCTTGGCTGGTTAATTGAAGAGTCTCATGGACTTTTCTGCCTGGGATGGCTTCACACTGTGTTTCTCAGATCTCAGCCTACTGAGCAGATAAGAATACAGGCATGAACCACTGGCGTGCTGCTGAAGTGATTAACTCTGACTTTCACCGAGAAAAATTAGAAGGGTATCATGGTGCAGTGAGAGCTGGTGACGTGAGCGAGTTTCCTTGGAATGCCACGCTACAGAGACGACAGCGCACGCAGTCCCTCCACTCTCCAGGGAGAGGCCACACCGGGCCCTTCGCAGGCCAGGCGAGGGCCTTCCCTCCTGCACACAGGGTGGGGTCTTGGACTTTCCTGGAAGCATCTCGAGATTCCAGCCTGGTCCCACAAATGCCAGCCCTGGGCTTCACCTGCTGGTCCCAGCGGGGGCTGGGTGTCTCCTCACCGTGCCCCCCCCCCGTGGCTAGCCCGTGGCTCCTCCTGGCCCCCATGGCTGGGTGGTATCTCCTCTCCCCCCATGGCTGGGTTGTGGCTCCTTCCCCTCTCCCCCGTGGCTGGGTGGTGTCTCTTCTTTACCCCCGTGGCTAGGTCATGGCTCCCAACATCTCCCTGCCCTGGGCTGGGCCCTGCAGCTGCCTTCTTTGAACGTCCACCAGGTGGCAGTAAAGGGTGCTGGGTGTCCGGCTCCCAGCCTCCACCCCGTCCCGAACCGGAACCAATGAGACTTGGGGCCTGGTAGGCCAGGCTGTGACACCTCAGCAGCCTCCACAGAACAAAGCCTGCACTAAACCCAGGTGCTCAGGACTGAGCTCTGAGGACCACCGTTCAAGGCCAGGCAGGGCAAGAAAAACTAAGAGGCTCTTCTCTCCAATTAACCAGGAGAAAGCCAGAGTGGAGCTTTGGCTAAGCAGTAGAGCACCAGCCTTGAGTGAAAAAGCTAAGGGACAGCACCCAGGCTGAGCTTGAGCCCTGGTACTGGTGCGCGCGCATGCACGTGCGCGCACACACACACACACACACACACACACAGAGTACATCTGGTCCTTAAGTCCCAGCACCAAGATGCAAGGACCAGTCCCTTCTGCCAGTGCCACCCCAGGTGGTCCTTGGAGAGCGGTGGCTCTGTCCAGGAGCGCCAACTCCCTGCTCCCCAGCTCCGTGTCCTGCCAAAGTAGCCTGAGTCCAGAGCCTTGAGTGTGGGATTGGACAAGGATTCCTGCTGGGGGCAGGGCTCCTTGGGGAACGAGGAGCGGGGACTGCCACTCAGCCACCAGCACCGGGGCTCCCACAGCCAGGTCCGAGGCTGCTGCACAAAACACTTGGTTGGCTCCTGTGGCTGCAAAGGAAACTCTCCAAGTCTTGGTGAGAACTGGCTGCAGATTCTTTCCAGGGACAAAGGGCCAACTCTCCCCAGATCCTTGTGTCTGCTGGCGGCTGTGACATTTACAAAGGTCACAGGGAGTTGACCTCTGGGTGGGATGGGGGTAAAATGTCGCTGAGACCCATTTGGAGGCCTTTTTCCCCCAGGGCTGGAACGCGCTCGTCATCCCGACAGCAAGGGGACAGCTCACATTTCCCAGAAACCTCCACAAAAGTCTCTGTGTCTTCCAGCATTGGGAGAAGGGAAGCAGCCCCCTGGGAGAAATGGCGTTCTCCAGCCCAACACAGACATCGTATTACCCTGGGGCCAGAAGTGCCAGAGCCGCCAGCCCAAACTTCGCACGTCTCGGAGGCCCTGGCAGGAGTTTGCTCGGTGCTCTGGAGAGCAGCACAGGCCTGCTGAGGCCCCAGACCCAGGCAGAGTGCAGGCAGGTCCCTGGCAGCTGCTCAGAAGGCCGTGGGACCCCAGGGCGGGTCTGTGGCCTGAGCCCTGACTGCGCAGTGCCCTGGGCCTTGGAGATCTGCTCTATGCAGGGCGCGGGGCCTCGGCTTCTGTAGAGGGTGAAGTGGTCAGGTAAATGCTCTTTGCTCCCACAGCCCCCCCACTGGTCGGCTGTCCCTGGCTTGATCCAGGGTGAGCCCTTGAGGGGCAGCAGGCAGGGCCCCACAGAGGGAGGCCACGCCCAGCCTCACCACCTCTGCGCACAGAGTTCCCGTGCATGGCTCTCACGCTGAGCAGACAAGGCCGTGGTCACGCCACTGGACGCCTGGATGTGTCCTGTACTGGGCGCTAACTGGAGGACTTTTTTTGTGTGTGTGCCAGTCCTGGGGCTTGAACTCCGGGCCTGGGCACTGTCCTTGAGCTTCTTTTGCTCAAGGCTAGCACTCTCCCGCTTGAGCCACAGCGCCACTCCTGACTTTTTCTGTGTCTGTGGTACTGAGAAATGGAAGGCAGGGCTTCATGCATGCTGGGCGAGCACTCTACCGCCGAGCCACCTTCCCAGGCCAATGGCCTTGACTTCCCAGGTGCCTCTCAGGACAGCCAAGAGAAGCACTGAATGCCGGGGAGCCAGATGAGACCCAGACACCCAGAGGGCGGTGCTGCTTCCCCGTGGGAGCCGCGTTGGCCGGGTCCTGTCTTTGCAGGGATGTGCAGAGGCCGCCAGGCCTGCAGCGGTGGCTGCAGCCAGCACCGCCTGTGAGGGACAGGCACCCCGGGGGGCGTCCTCCTTCCTCCCACCTCTCCGCGTTGATCTGTGCTCCGCCGTCGGTGCTGAGGCGGCTGGACAGCTCAGCGAGGACAGTGGCCGTTCACTGACGCATTGGTCGGCGCGGCGGCTACGGCTCTTTCCTTCACACCCTTCCCCCCCACCCCCCCGGGGTCCTCAGTGGACCCTTGGATCTGCGACAAGAAGAAAAATCCGCACTGTAGAGTTGAAGACATCATTTCAAAATCTGGTTTTAAATAAACACGGAATTAAAAGAGAGAGAGAGAACGAGGAGCCTCCAGCAGCTGAAATTAGAAGCAGCCAGCCCTGGGCAGGGAAGCCATCTGCCAGCGTGAGCAGCAGGATGGAAATGTCTGGGCTTCTCACTCCCGGCAGGAAAAGCTACTGGTGGCAGGCAGGCCCCGCTGCCTCCGGGGGGAGCAGAGTCCTCCCCCCATCCAGAAGCCCCCTTGAGACCCCTTCCGAGGTATTAGAAGTACTTTGACAGGCCGAACAGTAAGAAGACAAATCAGAGGATGCTTTCTTCTGGGGGTAAATGAAGAGGAACTACAGTAGGTACAAAGTTCATCTTTGTCCGGAGACCTCCAGGACCCCCACCCAGGAGCAGGTGTACACAGCCAGCCCCCCCCACGGCTCGGTGGCCGCAGCCCAGCGCCAGCACCCCAATGCAGCCCTGCTCTGACAGGAGGCTCTGACCCGGCCGTCTCCCCTCTCATCCTGTAACTGTCACGCCTCTGCTCGACGCCCACCCATGGCAGAGGCCCCCCCCCCCCCCCCCCGCAACCCCATCCTCAGACACCACTGCGCCCTCCCTCAGGACCCCAACTTCCCTGCCTTGCCCAGGTGGGCGCGGGGCGGGGGGCCCAGGGCGCGCTGGGGGCCTGTCACCTGCCCGAGTTATTTAAGTCTGCATTGTCAGTTAATGTATTCTAATAGGCAAGTGGGTGCCCGGGCTGGCAGACAAGGGATGACGCTGAACTGTAACAAGGGGAAACAGCACCCAAGGAAACTTCGAGGCTCATTCGCGCCCCTGCACCAACCCCGCACAGCCTCCCACGGGCACCTGGAGTCACGGCGAGGAGCGGATTACCGATTATGTAAGGGGCTGGTTGCCGGGGAACGTCCCACCCAACCCCAGGGACAGGGCAGGCTCCGGAAGGGGGGCCCCCCGCCCCCTCCGCCCCGAGCAGAACACCCCCAGACCCTCCCAGCCATCTGTGGAGGCTCTGCCGGAGACCACAGCCAGCTGAGGGCACAACTTCCTGGGCTAAGGAGGATGGAGGCCAGGGCACAGCACCAAGGCTCGGGAAGGCTCTGAGGGCCTCCCCACACCTCGCCTTCTAGGTGTGGGCCTCCTCCTGCCTCCTCCGCCCGACCAGAAAGTGCTGAGCCATTCGGCGCCCTGTGGGATGGGGACACGGGCCCCCATCTGGGGTCTCGGTCAGCTGAGCCTCGCGCTGAACGCAGGCGGTGCCGTCCATGGCAGCACGGCGGCGGCAGCGCGGCCTGCGCCTGAGCTGCGCTCAGGGACGGCGCTGAGCCCCTGAACCCAGTGTCTTTGTTTCTGTCCAGGGCTCCACGCGGGATCCCATGAGGCCTTTGGTCCTCGTGTGTCTCCGGGTGGCCATGTCCCAGGCTTCTCTTGTGACACTCTGGCCGTCTGGAGGAGCACTGTCTGGCCAGGTGTTGGCACCGGCACGCTCGGGGCAGGTGACAGTGAGGTGTCCAGAGCACGGAGGCTCACAGTGCCTGGGCCTTGCTCATTGGCCACACCCTTCCCACCACCACCCTGCTCCCAGCCCTGGCTTGCAGGGCTCCGAGGGGCACGATGCCTGGCTCCCGGACCCGCTCCCCAGCCCGGGCTTGCACGGCTCCGAGGGGCACGATGCCTGGCTCCCGGACCCGCTCCCCAGCCCGGGCTTGCAGGGCTCCGAGGGGCACGATGCCTGGCTCCCGGACCGGCTCCTGCCTGCGGCAGGTCTCCCTGCCTTTGTTGCTCCTGGCAGGTGGAAGGAACTCGGCTCTGCCCTGCCCCGCTCTTCCTGTGAGTCCTTGCGGACCGGCGGCTACCTGTCCTGTCCGCCCCTCCTCGCTCCTGTGCTGTTCTGCCCCATGGTCTGTTGGGGGGGGCGTGGGAGGGGGAAGCAGGTGATGGGCAGAAGAGGGAGAATTGGCTTTCCCTCAGAAGCTCAGACACCCTGGCTCCGGTACTTTCTGGTTACTGGTTACAAGTGCTTCAATCCAGGAATTTGAAAGAAGGGAAGAGGAGTTTCTGACTGGGTGGATCTTCCTGGGAGAGGAGGCAGCGCGGGGTGGAGGAGGGTGCCCCCCCAGGTCCAAGTCTGGGGTGATCTCAGCTAAGCCAGGCCACGGCCAGCCCAAGCCGCCCTGGGCAGGTGGGAAGGAGAGGTGCAGACAGAAACGGCTGGGGCGCTGCCGGTGGTCACCCCTCGGAGGGCCTCTGCTAGGCACACACTGGCAGTCCCCAGCGCCTGCCTGCCAGGGGAACAGCTTGCTTGAGATGCATAGGCTGTCATCCTGTAATTAAATCTGAGACCCCCCTTCCTACACGACGCCGAGATGAAGCCACTTACATAACACAGCTAAAAATAAGCCGCTGGGGACGGCATACGGGCGCGCCCTGCACGGCCCTCGGCCTGCCCACCCCGCCCAGCCCGTGCCCTGCCCGAGAGCAGTTGGCTGGCTTCAGGATCTGACACTCCGCAGCTGGGGCTGTGGGGCCGAGGTGGTTTCTGCCTCAGGCCCCTGCAGGTGCTTGGGGGCTGGGGTGGACTCTGGACGAGGCTGTGGGTACACGGCAGGTGACACCCACAGCGTCACGGGGCCGTGTTCTGCCCAGGTGAGGGATGACAGTCACAGGGAGAAGCAAAGCCAGCAACGGGCGGATTCCTGTCTCCATTCTCAGGGACTCTCCATGAGCTCCTCCCCAGCCCTGGACCCCCGAGCCCCGCCCCTACCTCAGCACCCGAAGACCACCACCCTGACTGGGAAGAAGCTGTGGGCCCGCGAGAGTGAGCAGCTGGCTGTCTTGGCCCAGCAACAACCTCTTGCTATTCCTTGGGGAAGGATTTGCAAAAAAGGGGTGCTCTGCTCTGACAATGGCTTCCTCGCTCATCGTGGAGAGGGCCCGTGAGGTCCTACAATGTTCCAGCCATGCCAACTTCCCAGACCCCTTAGCCACCGGGCCTCTCAGGGAAAAAGAACAAAGTGAGGTTTAAACAGGGCTTTGGATATCTCCCAAGTTAGGAAGGGTCAGGGACACCTAACTGCTAACTCAAGTTAGTGTCAGGGTGACCCATGGGCGCCCAGCCTAGAGCTTTCCTGTCGGCTCTCAGGACCCAGGCTTGTCTCTAGGACTCGGCCCTCCACGTTATTAGAGGCTGCTGCCTCAGTCCAAGAGCTTGGGGCACTGGCAGGCAGGCTGGGGCTGGGACTTCCTGCGGGGAGTGGGAGGGGCGGGTGCTATGTGGGGGTGGGGGTGGGGGTCTAGGACATCGCCTGCAGGCTCTGCCTGTCTAACCCCTTCCCCGCCATCGGCCACCATTTATTTTCTCAGCGCGAAGTTGCTAAGTCGCAGGCGGGATGCGAGTTCATTTTCTCTCCCGGCAGGTGCTCTGATAGCCGGCTTCTCTCTGCTGGCTTCTGTCCCAGCTGTCCAGCCTCCCGCCCGGTCGCCAGGTGCAGGAGCTGGCCCAAGCCTGATACTGCCAGAAGGCAAGGCTGGGCTGAGGTGGTCACCAAGAGGAGCAGGAAGGTCAGGTCATGGGCAGGCTGGCTCAGGGAAGCACTGGGGGCTTCCAGGCAGTGGACCAGGCCCATCAGCTCCATGGCGGCCTGCACCCAGGCCAGCTCTGTGTTCCACTCACTCCTAGAGCCAGGATGTTGGGTCTTAGGCTTGACCTCGCAATGCGCCACACAGGACCACAAGAACGCAAATAAGAGAGGAAGCTGCTTGAGACCAAGCCGTCTCAAGAGCCAAGAAATGCTGTCCTGGGTGAGCGCCTGTGTGAGCTGGCTGTCACTTGCAACCAAAGGACTATGGAAAACACACACTAAAAGGAAGGAAGCCAGGACCAGTAGTTGGGAAAAATCTGGCCTTCCTTCTGCCTCCATGAGACCAAGTGCCCTCCTGTCTGGGGAGGGGTGTCTGCGGGCTCCCCGGGGGCTGGTGTCCTCTGGGTGTCCATCCTGAAGGGATGGCCAGCTGTCCAGGAACGGGATGCTGGCACAACGTCAGGCTTAATTAAGGGGAAACATTCAGATCTTGTGTTTTACACTGTAAAACAAATAATGCTTCTCTGTTCCAGGGATTGATGTCAATATTTCTGCAAAGGAACTATGGGGGAACCCCACGTCCCAGCCCGGTCAGCTTCCTTGGTGGACCACGACCTCTTTCCTTAGAAGAGAAATCCGCTCTGCCTCCTCCGTTGCTTCCCTCTCTAAGAGGCCGCCCCATCCAGCGCACTCCCCACCTGCGGGGTCCCCAGGGTCCCCCCCTACCAGCCTTCCCCAGTACCACCCCACCCCAGTCCCTAGTGTCCGCCCCACCTCGGGGTCCCGCCCCAGGCCCACCCCTCTGCGGGGACCCCGGCCCACCCTTCTGCAGAGACCCCCCTCCGCGGGGAACCCCCCATCCCTCGACAGGAACCCCCCCTACTCCTCGGCGGGGACCCCCCATCCCTCCCTCTGCCTTTCGGTGGGAACCCCCCCACTCCTCGAGGAGACCCCCTCCGCCCTTTGGCGGGAACCCCCACCACCCCTCCGCGGGGACCCCAGCCCACCCCTCCACGGGGATCCCCCATCCCTCCGCAGGGACCCCGGGCCCACTCCTCCGCGGGGACCTGCCACCCCTCCGCGGGACCCAGGGCCACCCCTCCGCGGGACCCCCACCACCCCTCCGCGGGACCCCGGCCCACCCCTCCGCGGGGACCCCCCACACCTCCGCGGGGACCCCCCACCCCTCCGCGGGGAACCCGGCCCACCCCTCCGCGGGGAACCCGGCCCACCCCTCCGCGGAACCCGGCCCACCCCTCCGCGGGACCCCGGCCCACCCCTCCGCGGGAACCCGGCCCACCCCTCCGCGGGGACCCCGGCCCACCCCTCCGCGGGGACCCCCCACCCCTCCGCGGGAACCCCCCACCCCTCCGCGGGGACCCCGGCCCACCCCTCCGCGGGGACCCCGGCCCACCCCTCCGCGGGGACCCCCCCACCCCTCCGCGGGGACCCCGGCCCACCCCTCCGCGGGGACCCCGGGCCACCCCTCCGCGGGGACCCCGGGCCACCCCTCCGCGGGGACCCCGGGCCACCCCTCCGCGGGGACCCCCCACCCCTCCGCGAGGACCCCGGCCCACCCCTCCGCGGGAACCCCCCACCCCTCCGCGGGGACCCCGGCCCACCCCTCCGCGGGGACCCCGGCCCACCCCTCCGCGGGGACCCCGGCCCACCCCTCCGCGGGGACCCCCCACCCCTCCGCGGGAACCCCCCACCCCTCCGCGGGGACCCCGGCCCACCCCTCCGCGGGGACCCCGGCCCACCCCTCCGCGGGGACCCCGGCCCACCCCTCCGCGGGAACCCCCCCACCCCTCCGCGGGGAACCCCCCACCCCTCCGCGGGGACCCCCCACCCCTCCGCGGGGACCCCCCCACTCCTCCGCGGGGACCCCCCCACCCCTCCGCGGGGACCCGGCCCACCCCTCCGCGGGACCCCCCACCCCTCCGCGGGGACCCCCCACCCCTCCGCGGGACCCCCCACCCCTCCGCGGGACCCCCCACCCCTCCGCGGGGACCCCCCCACCCCTCCGCGGGGACCCCCCCCACCCCTCCGCGGGGACCCGGCCCACCCCTCCGCGGGGATCCCCCACCTCTCCGCGGGGACCCGGCCCACCCCTCCGCGGGGACCCCCCACCCCTCCGCGGGGATCCCCCACTCCTCCGCGGGGACCCCCCCCACCCCTCCGCGGGGACCCCCCACTCCTCCGCGGGGACTCCCCACCCCTCCGCGGGACCCCGGGCCACCCCTCCGCGGGGACCCCGGCCCACCCCTCCGCGGGGACCCCCCCACCCCTCCGCGGGGACCCGGCCCACCCCTCCGCGGGGACCCCCCACCCCTCCGCGGGACCCCCCACCCCTCCGCGGGGACCCCCCACCCCTCCGCGGGGACCCGGCCCACCCCTCCGCGGGGACCCCCCACCCCTCCGCGGGGACCCGGCCCAGGATCCTCCCTCCGGGGTCCAGGCGCCCTTCCCTCCCGAGACTGTCGGGGCGCCGCCCGCCTCGCGTACTCACCGGCGCAAGTACTGGGGTCGCCGGCGCGAGGACGGGGCGCCGACCCCTTCCGCGCCGCCGCCCGCCCGCTCCGCCCGGGAGCCCGTCCGCGCCTGGGCGGCCGACGGCCGGACCTTCCGCCGCGCCGGGCCGCGACCCTCGAGGGCCGGCCGCCCCGACCGTCGCCTCCACGCGCGCTCGCGCCGGCGCCCCCGCGCCTCCCCCCGCCTTCTGCTCCCTCTTCCTGCGCCACCCCGCCCCCGCTCCCCGCCCCCAGCCCGGCTGTCGCCCCGGCCCCCTCAGGCTTCTCCCCGCGCCAGCCCGCATCGCGCCTCCGCCTCCTCCCCCCCATCGACCCCGCCGCCGGCCAATCGGCGACGGGAGCTGGCCTTCGGGCTCCGCCCCTGGTCCCGCCCAGCGCCCCCGCCTCCGGAACCCACCAATAAGAAGGGCGGCGCAGGAACGGGCCTGGCGGTTGCCTAGCAGCGGCGGAGCTGGGCGGGGGCGGACGGCCGGGGGCGGTGATCCGGACCGGCGGAGGCGGGGCTGTGGGGCGTGTCCAGATATAGGGGGCGTGGCCCGAGGCGCCTATAAACGCTGCGGCCGCCGGGAGTCGCGCTCCGTGGTCCTTCGCGCGCTTCTGTATTCTGTTCCGTCGCAGCCTCCGCCGCCGCCTGCGCCCCCGCTCCGGTCTGTGGTGTAGCCGGGACCCAGGACCATGTCGCTGTCACGCTCCGAGGAGATGCACCGGCTCACAGAAAATGTCTACAAGGTGAGCCTACGGCGCCGAGCCGCGCCGCCCCATGCGCTCGCGTCCGACTAGGGCGGCTCCGGGCCGGAGTCGGGGCCCTCCGGGGGCTCGCGCGCGGGCGTGGGGCGCTCCGCGCGCGCCGCTCACAGGTGGCCGCGCCCGCCCCAGGGCCCTTCCGCTGGCCGCGGGGCGCGCCCCCCCCCCGACGGCGCCGCTCGGCCCCGCGCGCCCGCCCGGCGGAGCTCGCCGGGCCGCGTAACTCTCGGATCCTGTCCGAGCCGCTGCGGACCGGAGCGAGGCGGAGCGGACGTCCGGGGGCGGCGTGGGGGCGGCCGCGGCCCGCCGCCCGCGGTCCCCGCCCGCCGCCCCGCGCCGGTTGGCGCGCGGGCACCGCGGGGCTGTTCCGGGCGCGGACACGCGGCCGCCCGGCACTTTCTCCTCAACAGGCGGGCCGAGGTGGGAGGTCGCGCGCGGGCAGGCTGGACAGATAATCCGTCATCTTATGTAACCGCGGAGGGAGAGGACTAATTGAGTGGGAGGCTGACGCGCCGCCCGTGCTGCCGCCGAGTGTGAAGAGCGGCGTTCGCACGCTCGTCTGTGCCGTGACAGTCTCCCAGCCCGAAGCCGCAGAGCCCCCCCCCCCCCCGCCTCCCCGCACCCCTGCAGCCGTGCCTGCGTGTGCGCGCGGGTGCGCACCGAGGCGCCCGTCCCTGTCCGGGCCTTCCGCCCCAACCACCCGGCGCCCTGCAGCTCCCCCGGAGAGCAACCTCTGCCCCGGCCGGCCCGCTCCTCACAAAGATGCCCTTTATCTCAAGGCTGAGTCTGGGGGTGAGGAGGAGTTTCCATGCCGCCGGGGCTCTGGCTCCGAAGGGGGTCAGGCCCCGCTCCCGGAGCAACAGCGTCCGACCGGGTTACCCAGCCGACGGAGGCTTCCGAGACGGCCCCTCGGGTTCCAGCCCGAGTCCAGGGGCAGATTATACTTTAATGCGGCTTTTAAGAAAGGCCTTAAAGTTACAGCTCCGTGGTCTGGAGGCATCCCGGGGTGTGGGGCGGCCCCGAAGCCATGTTAGAGCCGCTGGAAAACACGATCCCCAACAGCCCTCAGGGGTTCCGAGGCGCTGCGGGAGCACATGCTGCTGTCCAGGGCGGGAGGCTTATTACATTATTAGTCATAAGTTCTGGGACGCTCGTCTTCGTTGGCTGTGAGGGAAGGAAGGTGCTGGTCACCGTCTTCGCGCTGGGAGCCCCGGTGGCCGCCGCGAGGGGCCTGCGGAGCAGCCGTGCTCTGGGGAAATCCCACGGCCGTCACCGCTGGGCAGCTTTGGGCTTCCCGCACACGCCGCTATAATTCATCTGGATGTGCGAAGGGAGGTCTGTGGCGGTGACAGGAAACACGATCCGCACCAGCGTGCATTTGGAAGTCTTAGCTCCTGTGACTGCAGCCCAGCAGGTTTGGGGCTCACTAAACCCAGGGATCTGACCTGTCTTGTGTTGGACACACCAGGGGTGGTTTGGTGCATTTCCCAGGGGAAGGCGTGGCAGTGCGATCTTGATAGGGTTTTTCAGGTTGGACACATTCGGGCTGTAGGTGTTGGAAGGGCTGTTCCACCCCGGGGCCACTGCTGCCCGCGTGACAGCTCTCCTGCTGCACGGCAGGTTTGGTTTTGTAGATAGGTGGCTCTTGCCACCCTCTGGGGGCCTGTCTGCTGAGTCTTCAAATCCTGGGCTCTGTTCCCTTTCTGTGTTTTCTCACTGGGAGGCTGCGATGTCTTGGCAGTGCCAGTACAGGTTGGGCAGCTTTGGTTCGTTGGCCATCGGTGTGCAGATCAGGGCTGGTCGAGCCAGTCTAGGCACCACCATGCTGTCTCCTCCTGGGCCTCGGCTCCCTCTCGCTCCTGCTGGGGGAGCTCCCATGCCCGCCTGGCAGTGCCTCTTGGAAAGGCAGGCGTGTGGCCTGCTCAGTGTCTCCCGCCATGCGGCTTGGCCCTTGCATCACCTCAGCTGCAGTTCTGAGTGCTGTTTGCCTTGGCAAACAGAGACGTTTGTCCTTGGCCCTGCTGATTAAAAATTGAGAATAAAGTGTACAGTTTTGATTTTCCTCCTGGAAGAATCTAATGCAGACTCTGACCTCTTTCCTGGTGGTTCAGTTCCCTTGGGAGCTGTGTCCTCGGGGAATTTTATGAAAGATGAAGCAGAGGTAAACTGGACAGCCATGTGATGTCAACCAGGAACTCATCCTTGGACCCTCAGGCCAGCAGGGGAGTGGACAGTGAGGTGAGGAACGGTCCTCCCTCCGCCCTTGGGAGGCAGAACCTGGGGCCCTACCTGACGTCCACCCAGGTAGCTGCCTGGCTCCAAGGGGTAGAGTGCCAGGGGTGGGGGGGTTGGGGGGGTGTCTGTCTGTTGCCCAGATTGGGTGCTGCTGAGAATAAAGCAGACAAGCAGGGTCTGATGATACAGGCTTGTCATCCCAGCTACTCAGGAGGTGAGGGTGGGGAGGCCTCCAGTTCAAAGTCAGCCTAGAGGAAGTGAGTGAGATTCTATTTCAAAATGGCTGTAGGGAGTGATTCAAATGGTAGATCCCCCCACCCCGACCCTGAGTTCAATCCCTGGTATTGGGTTGGGGGCAATGAGGGCAACCAGAAAATTAAAGGTCTTCTTTTTATTTTTTTGAGTCCGATCGTGGGCCTGGGCGTCATCCCTCAGCTCTTCAGCTCAAGGCTAGCGCTCTACCACTTGAGCCACAGCTCCACTTCCAGCTTTTATCTTTTTGCTTATGTGGTGCTGAGGAATCGAACCCAGGGCCTCAGGCATGCAAGACAAGCGCTCTACCACTGAGCCACCTTCCCAGCCCCTTCTTTAGGTCTTTAAAGGTCCAAAAGTATTCAAAAGGAGGGGTGTGTGTGTGTGTGTGTGTGTGCATGCGTACATGTATGTACGCACTAGAGCTTGAACTCAAGGCCTCTTGCTTGGTGTTTTTTTTTTTTTTCTCATAACTCCGCTTCTGGGTTTTTCCTGGTTAATTGAAGATAGTGTTTCAGTTTTTTCTGCCTGGGCTGGCTTTGATTTTCAGATCTCAGCCTGATGTGAGTCATGGGTACCTGGCTTAGCAGGAGCCTTTTGTTTGTTTTTTGTTGGCATTGGTCCTAGGCTTGAACTGTTTTTTTGCTCAAGGTTAGCACACTACCACTTGAGACACACCTCCACTTCTGCCTTTTTTCTTGGTTAATTGGTAATAAGAGTCTCTGATTGCTGGGCACATTGGTGGCTCATGCCTGTAATCCTAGTTATTCAGGAGGCTAAGATCTGAGGATTGGAGTTCGAAGCCAGCCCCTACAAGAAAACTCCCTGTGAGATTCTGATCTCCAATTAACCGCTCAAAAACCTCAAGTGGTGCTATAGCTGAGCACAAAGAGGTTCAGGGACAGCATGTAGGCCCTGAGTTCAATCCCCACAATCGACCCAGAAAAAAGTCTTATAGACTTCCCTGCCTGAGGTTGACCTTAAACTGCCATCCTCAACTCTCTACCTCCTGAGCCACCAGCACCCAGCTGAGAAAAGGAACCTTTTAAAATGATCAGTTTGGAGCTGGGTGCTGGTGGCTCACGCCTGTAATCCTAGCTACTCTGGAGGCTGAGCTCTGAGGATTGCAGTTCAAAGCCAGCCTAGCCCAGGCAGAAAAGTCCATAAGACTTTTACCTCCAACAAACCATCAGAAAACAGAGTGGTGATGTGGCTCAAGTGGTAGAGCGCTAGCCTTGAGCTGAAGAGCTAAACAACAGGATCCAAGCCCAGAGTTCAAGCCCCATGACCAACCAAAAAAAAAAGCCAGTTTGCTGAGGCTCCTGATGGTGGCGTTGGACCGAAACTTCCAAGGTCCAGGCCCTGAGGGCCGTGTAGTGTCCCTCGGCCACTGGCTGTGGGAGGAGGGCCTGCCGGGGGAGGTCAGGTTGTCTTTTTGCATAGGTGTATATCCCCAAAGAAGCCCTGACTACCCGATGACCTCATAAGGGTTGAGGGTGGTGGGCGGCTCCAACTCTTCTTGGAATAGCACTTCAGGCTTCCCTGAAGACAGCAAGGTAGAAGAGCAGGCGAGTCCCTATACGGCTGTTGGTGGATGTGGCCCCAGGGACTCCTGTGGCCACTGTAGTCAGACTGTTACCAGGGGTCATCTGATCACCCTGCAGCTGCGGTTGGTAAGTCAGCTTGACCCTGCTCGAGCTGTTCTTGGGAAAGTGGCACATTCTAGACGTCTCTAAAGCCTTTTTGGCTTTGCTGTATCTCATGATTAGTGAGGGGCAGTGTGCATGGGATTCTGGGAAGCAGAGGCCTACCACCAATGGCCTGCCAAGTTCCACGCCCTTCCCCAGGAAAGTGTTGTGGGACCTCCAAGTACTCTGCTGCTGGCATTCCCTCTTTATTTCCAGAAGCGTGGGGGCCTTGTACAGTCAGTGAGGTAGGACAGACTGGGTAATGCAGCTGTCTGCCTGGTGGCAGTACCAGGCACATTCCTGAAGCATGTACATACGCACATGTGTGTACACACGCATGCACATACATGCATGCATGTGTGTCCATGTATGTGTGGTCCTTTATTTTAGGATGGCTGGGTTCGCTCACTGAATGGTTCCCTCTGTGCTTCCTTCTCTCCAGTACCTTCCGGGCTGCCCAGCCGCAGCCTTTTAGCTGTTCAGATCTCCTTTTGAGGAACCACTAGGGCAGTAGCAGGCACGCTCCCTGCCACGCTGACCTCTCTAAGATGACCAGATTTTGCAGTGCTCATGCCCAGGCCATGCCCTGTAGGTCATCAGCTCTTCTGTTGGCTCACACGGTGCCTCGTGCCAGTGCCTGGCGTGTTGTTGCAGGCTGTCACTTCTTGGTACAACGTGACACTTGGAGGTCTTGGGTGTGGGGAAATCACCTGCAGCACTGCAGCCAGGTTGGTAGCGTGCTTGCTGTGCCCTGACCATGTGTCTTTGTTGGGGAGCTCAGCCTGACCTCTGGGGCCCAGTGGCTGAACT